ATAGCTCATGTTTTTACATTTGTTCTGGCTGTAAGCTGTTCCTTTGTGTTCAGGTCTGGCCTCAGAAGGATAATGTAGCACTTGGGGATGAAGATACAACCCAACAGACCAGCACTGGAGGCCAGGATGGAGAAGACCTGAACAGCTATCATGTATTTCCCTTTGGTGCTCAGGTAGGTGGGCACAAAAGTCACCCAGACGCTGCAGAAGACCAGCATGCTGAAGGTGATCAGCTTGGCTTCATTGAATGCCCCAGGCAGATTCCTGGCAAGAAAAGCAACAGTGAAGCAGATGGCAGCTAGGAAGCCCAGGTAACTGAGGGTGAGGTAGAACATGACATCAGAACCTTCATTGCATAGCAGGATGATCTCTCCAGGCTGAGAGTGGAAGTCAGAATCAGGGAATGGGGGAGAAACTCCCAGCCAGATGGAGCAGATGATAATTTGGACACCAGAGCAAGAAAGGATGATGGAGTTGGCCAAACTCTTCCCCAGCCAATTCTTCACCTGGTTTCCTGGTTTTGTGGCCAAGAAAGCCAGCACCACCATGATTGTTTTGGCCAAAAGAGAAGAAATGGCAACTGAGAAGATGATGCTGAAAAGTGTTTGTCGGAGAAGGCAAGTGGCTTTCCTTGGTTGACCAATGAAGAGAAGAGGAGACAAGAAGCAAAGTAGGAGGGAGAACAGGAGAATGTAAGAGAGGTCTCGGTTATTGGCTTTCACAATGGGAGTTTCTAGGTATTTAATGAATATGAATAAAACAAGGCCTGTGGATAGGAACAAGAATAGGACAAAAGCAGCCATGATGATGCCCAGATGTTCTTCGTAAGACAGGAAAGTTATAATTTTGGGGATACATTGAACTCCGTCTTCATTTGGGTATTTATCATCTGGACATTTAGTGCACTTTTCTGTATCTGAGAATCAAAAGATAATATCATATTAACATTAATTCCTGTTACCTTTCAAAAATACTTTCTTAACTAAACTTAAGGTGGACCAGAATTTTGAAATAAGATTTATATAGCTAACTGCAATCTTGGAACTGGATATTAAGGAAGAACAAAAGATGGCCCCCATTGCTTTTCCCCCAGCAGTTGAAGTAAATAAACAAAGTAGATTAGAAATCTGAAACAAGAATTGTATAACTAACTATAACTTTGAAATGAGACATCATGGAAAAATGGGAATTAGAAGAACTACCTGAAATTATAAAAAATATGCATAAATCAGTAATATCAAGCCTAAATAGAATTCTGAATCCAGAGAAATAGATATCTAAAGAAGAACTCAAAGAAGAAGGGGGAAAGACAACCAAGGGGGAGAAATGAAGGGAAATAAAAAGCAGACAAAAAATTCCATCAATCTTGGCATTGGTATAGGGAAAATTGTAAAAAGAGGAGATGTCCCCCCCAAAAAAAGGGAGTAAAAAGCAGACAAAAGTGGTTTTGGACCTAAACTGTTCTGAAGGAACAGTGATAGAGAAGAGCATGTCCTGCTGAATTCAGGGGCATCAAAAAGCCCCTGATTGATCCAGGAGAAAGCTCTTTTTGCCAGCTGCAAGAGAAGCAACCAAGATGGCTGCAGAAGGTTGGGACAAGCCTCTGAAACAGAAGCAATACAGGAGTATGAGTGTGTCGAAATGGTGAGGAAATTTTCTATTATTAGAGAAAGGAACCCAAAAGGCTTGGAATTTAAAATAAAATTGAAGACAGAAGAAAACAAGTGGTGAATTAACCCTGATTTAAAACTAAAACTATTGTGTTATCTTTACTACCTTAACTTGGTTTGTTTTTTTTATGAATGGACTTTTTACAAATGCCTCTTACTTTTAAACTGAACTGGTCCCCCTTTTTTTCCTTCTTCCTCTACAAAGAGAGGCAAAAACAGATGGAAAAGAGGCAACCCTGCCATCTAGTAACTAGAGACTTGGCAATATCTGATAAAGCTCAGGGGTGGGTTTCGACCGGTTCGCACCAGTCCCTGCGATCCGGTTGGTCGCCGAACCCGGAAGTAAGTAACTTCA